CTCACAACTGAGCAACTAACAACAAAAAAAAGACCATCTTACCATAGCAGTAGAGCATGTATGTGTAATGATATATAGGGATAAGATACAGCTTAATTTTAGGTAACAACTTTTTTAAAATAGTCCATAAGCCTTCTTTTACCCTAGCATGACTTTACACATGGCATTCCGTCTCCTGATAAAGTTTAAAATAAACACCCGGAGAGCCACCTCAGACTCTAAAACAGCCCCCATTGGCCAGCCCTACCTTATATTAATAAATACAGTGATGGGGGCAGCCCCTGTACACAGCTCCCGTACCACTTTATTTATAAATCCTTAATGAAAACCTGCACGTCGTAAGGAAATTACCCTGCTTAGCCAAGGATGGGGGCTGGTAGTGTCTCAAATGCCCTCTGCCCTGCGTTGCTCTCTCACGGCCACCCCTCCATCTCCCCAGCTCACTTCTGACCACTGCCCCACCACCCCCGCCAGCTCCTTCACAGTCTTAGGGAAGGCTTCTGAGACTGTCACATGATCCTGTATCCTTCCAGAGCATCCCAACATTGAACTCCTCACACTGTATTATACTCATTAGGTGATTCATCTTTATGCACCACAAAACTTAGAACTTCTTGTGCAAAAAAGCAAATTTTAATCAGTTTGTTTTCCAGGCACAATTCCTGGCTCAGAGGAGACCCTCCATAAATGTTAGGTATATGAATGGATAGATGGGTTCAATGATGAGGAAACAGCTTATTAAGAAAAAAATCAATGTAAAATCTAAACCAAAAGGCATTCAAGGTCCTCATAGATAGCATGCCTTGTTCCAACGGAGATTTGGCACTTAGGTTAATTCTTACATCTAGTCACTGTCCAGAACCAAGAGTTAGAGTTTACCCACAAGTAATATGGAGGAGAATTTCTACAGCTTAAAGTCTTGAAAAAAAAAAAATCATGAAACAGTGTTTGAGTTTCATACTTTCCAAGCTCGCACACATACTCAAGAGAGCAAATGTACTTTGGGTTTGAACACTTGAGGACTCATGTCCAACGCTGTACCACTGAAAGAGTATTGAATCGGTTCATTAAGAGAAGAGAAATTATTCAGTTATGGAATCATATTAGATGGAGTTTCGCTGAACAGGTATGGTGCCAATCCCACACCAAGCTGCCCGCCCACTGCTACTCCAGCGGCGCAAGTACTGCCGGCTTCCTCCAGCTCAGCCTGTAACTGACACCAGCATCAAAGTTTTTTCTTAGAACTGATGTGAGTGCTCTATTAGCCTCTACACAAGGCTGGCTTGAGATTCAAATGCTCAATTTGCTAAGCAGAAATATCCTTTTCTGCATTCTGAAAGCAGATTTCCAAGCAGCCTACTTCAGACATTATCAGGACTTGAAATGGACTCTGCTCTCTGTGAGACACAGCAATTATTATCTGTCTTCCCCTATTCTCCTCAAAGCTGATACTGAAAAGCAACATTTGAGGTTTATTTCAAATACTTAGCTCAAACACTTCCTGCCACATAATCACTTACACACAGCAGAGAGTTAACTTCAGATTAAGCATCTGCTAGACCGCGAACCCTTTAGAGACAGGGACAGACTCTGCAGCCTTCCTCCCAGTGCGCACTGAGCACACAGTGCATATCAAGCCTGGCACATTCGTTTACTAGGGCTCCCACAGCTGGGCTCGCTTAGCGATTAGCAGTCTATAAAATGCTCATAAGTTTTCCACTTACTAAAATGTACATCCTCAGTTTTTGCAAGTGGAGCTAAGTTAATTCCTAATGGGCTATCTATAGCTAAACAACTATACACTCCTAAATGTGGAACAAAATACAAAAAACAACCATCTAAAGTCTGTAGAATGCTCAAAATCAAAGAGATTTTAGAAGGGAGTCAAGAGTTGAAAGAAGGGAATGGCCTGGGTGAATTTACTGATGGTAGAGCTTTTTAGCTGAGTAGCAGAGTCTGAGGCAAACACAGGGCTGAAATCAATGGGAGGAATGCTAGAAATGACAGTTAGACCTGGGGAGCCCCATATTTTGTGTATAAAATCTGACAATCATGTATGCCAAAAATAAATGTAAAAGTCCAACTAAGAGGTAAACTAAGTTCTGCATTCCCAACCAACAGTCTGCAGTCTGAATCCAAAAATATCAACATTCCTCAAAGAAACAGAACAGAATCCAGTTTCCACAGTGTAGTACAATGTTACAGAATACAATCCAAATATATATGATATTTGATTCATATATAAACCTATATATTTGAAACATTTTCATACCACCAAACTCCAGGCCCAGATAGCTTCACTAGTAAATTCTATCTAATAATAAAGAAAATACAGCACCAAACTGACATATATTCTTTAGAGGGGAAAAAAAAAAGGAGGGGACACTTCTTCACTCACTATATAATTTTATATATGTAAATATTAGTCTATGTATACTTTTATTATAAATATATTTATGTATAAATATTTACATAAATGTATATAATATTTTATATAAATATATATAGGTTATAGGCCACTATCAGGAATACAGAAGCATTTGAATCCAACAATGTATAAAAAGGATAATACATCATTAAGTAGAATTTAATTCAGAAATGCAAAGTTGGTTTAATTTATTAACACTATATTAACAGTACAAAGGAGAAAAATCCTGTGCTCATTTCAGTAGATGCAGAAAGGATATTCAACAAAAGTCAGCATCCAGTCAGAATCAAATAGTCAACAAAGCTAAAGCAGAAGAAAACTTCAAATTTCCACAGCTGTTACCACACTTACTGGTAAAATATTTAATGTTTTCCATATTGATGTGAACAAGAGAAAAATGCCTAATCTCACTACTTGTATTCAAGCATTATACTAGGGATCCCAGCCAAAGTAATAATACAAGATAACAATAAACATAAAAACTGGAAAGAAAGAGGTAAACTGTTTATGCAGATAATATGATTATGTACATAGCATATTCTGAAGATTCTATAAAACAATTATGAAAACAAGTGAATTTTAGCAAGGTAGCAGAATACAAGGTCAATATACAAAGTTTCTATTAGAGGCAAAAAATTGGGAGAGAATATTTCAAAATATTCATTTTACAAGTGTTCAAAAGACATAAAATACTTTTAGGAGTAAGTTTAACAAAAGACAAGACCTTTCCCCTAAAAGTGATGGAAATTAAATGGAAAGATACATCATATTCAAGGAAGGGAAGACTTAATATTATTAAGATGTCAGAGCTCCCTAAATGGACCAACAAAATCAATGCAACAGCATCATAATCCCAGCAGAATGTTCTGCAAAACTAATTCTTAAATTTACATAGAGTTGCAAAGGATATACATCCAAACAATCCTGGAAAAGGACAAAGTTGAAGGGACTACACTACCTAACTTCACGTCTTACTATAAAAAGCTGCAATGATGAAGACTGTATGGTACTGGCATAATGATCCATAAATAGATCAATGAAATAAATCAGAAAGTATAGAAACAGATCCTCACTTAACACAGTCACCCAATTTCCAACACAGGTACCAACACAATCAGTGGAAGGAAAATATCTTTCAACAAATGCCATTGAAAAAACTAGATATCCATATGAAGAAAAAATGAATTGACTGTCTATCTCATACTGTTCACAAAAACTAATTTGAGATGTATCACAGACACAAAATTAAAAGCTATAATGTTAAAGCTTTTAGAGGAAATGGAAGAAATGATCATTTTAACTTTAAAGGATTCTAACATTTCCTTGAAGTTGGCAAAGATTTCTTAGTTGACAGAAGGTAAAGTCATAAAAGAAAAACTTGATCCATTACACATCATCAAAATTAAAAAATGTATCACAAAACTCCATTTAGAAAATAATAGGAAGCAACAGATTGAGTCAAATATTCACAAAACATGTATCCACCAAAAGATATGATACAGGAGATACGTTTTTAAAAAAGCTCCTATGACTCAATCATAAGAAGACACACAGCCCAGAGAGCAGAAAAAGATCTCAAAAGAGACTTCAAAATTGAAGATATACAAATGGCCAATAAATGCATACCAGATAATAAATTATCAGGGAAATACAAATTAATGCCACATGAAAATACCAATACCCTATCAGAATGGCTGAAATTAAAGAGATTGACAACATCAAATAAAGGTTTAGGTATGGAACAACCACAACTTTGCATGTGTTATTCTAGAAATGTCATAAATACAACCGCTTAGGGGAAAAAAATTATGGCAATTTATTATAAAACTAAATCCACAGCAATTTAAATCTTAAGTATTTACTAGAAATAAATGAAAACATATGGTCACAAAATGACTTATATGAAATGTTCACAGCAATTTAATTATAATAACTCAAAATTGAAAACTGCCCAGGCAATGGATAAACTGTGGTATATTCAGGTAATGAATTATTGTTCTGCACGCAAAAGAAATTAACTACTAATGTATACAACAGTATGCATACATCATGTACAAAGACACGCAAAGAAAAAAGAAAGCAGAGAAAAAAGCATCAATTTAGGCCAAATCTAAGATGATAAAGATTTTATAATTAGATCGGCTTTAAAAGTACTTATTGTAACTGTGCTCAATGTAATAAAAATCAAACTTCTTTCTAGAATAGATAATTAGAGAATTTTTTGAATATTTATGTGCCAAGCCGGATGCAAAGCATTTAATGTGGATAATCTTATTTAATTCTTATCAACCAAGCTTATCTTACAAACGAAAAACTACAGCACGAAAAAGTTGAACTGTCTGTCTGAAGTCTGAAATACAACTCAGAAGAATAATTTTTAAGGCTTCATAACTCACTCTAAAGTCAGAAAGGACAGAATCACTAAATAAGTTTTTAATTAATTTTAAAAGTATGCATGTTGGGATATTCTGCAAAGGGAAAACATCTCAAGAAGACACTAAACAGAATGTAAATTAAACAAGTGCTCCCTTGTGATAAAGATTAACACGCCTGCAGTGCACACCTGTCTTACCTTAGGAAACTGTTTTACAGGAATTAACACTTTCTGTCCCAGCTTCATGTTCTTATTAATCACCACATCAATGTACTTTTCTTCATCCTTGCCTTCTCCTTTTTGAAACTTCTCTATTTCTGTGGAGGAAAAACAGAAAATCATGAAGTGTCAGACCTGGAACCTCTGAGACTGGGGGTTCTCCTTAGCTCTATGGTGGCAAGAAACCAAATACAGAATATGGACTTCAGACGCTCAAGTAATGACGTGTTCTTGTTCCATCGATGATTCTTCACCAGCAAGTGGGGAAACACACACACATGTGCTCCAAAGTCAAGTCTCAATGACCCAAGCTCACGGAGGGGAACAATACACTAGCTACAAACATAAAAACAGACTCTTTGAGGTCCTCTGGAATTCTCAAAAAAGGCTGATCAAACAGCAAAGAAAAGCCAGAAAGCATTCTCAGTTTAGCATTACCAAGTACTGACAGCCCATTTTACCAGCCCTGCCTGGGTCTCCAAGGTGGTTCCCACCATGAAGGATTCTCTAAGAGGGCATTAAAAGCCCTAAACAGCCTTGTGACAGTCACCTCCCCAACAAAATCGTCCCACCTCACAAGTGACGAGCCCAACCACAAGCCTGTGGCTTTGTTAGTTTCTTTTGTCTGCTGGTGATGCTATTTTGATTATTTCCATTTCACACATCGCCTTCAAGATTCAATCATATTAAATACTACTTTTTATGCAACTGTCACTTTCCTTGACGGGGCGCGGGGCGGGGGGGACACCACGACACTCACAAAGTACTTCATGCACAATTCTATTATCATTCCCAGCTTAGGCCTGCAACTTCTAAGCAAAGCTTCTAAGGATAAAGATAATTACTAAATCTCCAAATACACTGATTATTTTGTTTGCTTTCTTGTATTATGCTACATTTTGCTCCAATAAAACTGATCATTCTATATAGAATCTGCATGGGAACAAGATACATTGAACAGAAGTATGTGAAATATAAACATTTATGTAGATAATTCTTGCCATTGTTTTTGGAAAAAACCTTTTGAGAGTACTTCTAATTTTGACATTTTTCTATAAATAAAATATACAATTAAAAGAAAGTTTCTCCTATATCCATACTTCAGAGATAATAATATACCATGTTATATACTCTTATTTTATGTAAATAAGAGTTTCTGAGCATGCAGACACAAAACATATTTGAAAACTGTAAAGCTAATGGTGGACATGAGCTAAATCAGTTCGGTTCTCCTCAGTAAAAAGCAGTAAGTCACATGCCATTTGCTCATCGAGTACAACAATTCATGACTCAGCTTTAATTAGCACAGGAAAATAACTTCTATATCTTATTTTTATTTATCCATTTATGCTATAATTGAGAATACCTTTAGCGAGTTAGAAGATTTAGTAAAATTAGGTTTGCTAAAACTTCCTAGAAAACAGAATTTTTAATGTATAATACATCAGTCAAAATAGATTTAACTACCTATTTTCTTTTTATATAACAAAGGCTTTTTAATAATTGTTGGGCACTGACAGGCACAATTTAATATTTAATTCCTTAATCAGCCTTCAAAATGTTACTCCTTCTATCAGTGATATTTATCATTTGAAGCAGCATGTTAGGTTAAAGTTAAGGTTAAAAAATTAGAAAGACTTATGTATTTTAGTATATATTAAAGGTTGAGATATCCCTACGATTTTTAAGAAGGAAATAAAAATTAGAAGAAAAGTAACAAATTTATTCTCCAGATAGTCAAGTTTACAAATCTTATCTTGCTAAAATACCTTGTTGCTACCTTAAGTAAGCTTTGAAATATGCTGAAATACTTCCCTGTTTAAGATTTATTTTAGAAAAAAACGTAAGGCCTGATGCCGTGTTAAAGCACGTAGGTGTGCTAGACCTAACATGCCACACAGCACTTGAAATAGCCCCGCCCCCATCACGGGCATCACACAGGTCTGGTTTACATCATGGCTAGTCTACTTCTCTTAGGTCCCCGTGGCCCCCAGTGGTAAAATTCAGAACTGGCCAAACTTCCATTTTTTTAGGCGCTGTTCAATCAACAGTTTGGCATTTTCTACTTGACTGAAGATCGTAACTATGTTTACGTGCTCAGGATGTCCAATAAAGTACAATGCAAAATAATGGGAAGCAACAAGATGACTTATGAAAACTTGAAATTGTCCGTAAATGGGAGTTTCAAACTCTCAAACTCATACTACCACCCCTCTGGGCTTCCCTAGCTCAGGAAGGGACTGGACAGCTACCGAGGTGGCTTTAGCCTTTCAGTAAATCGGAGCATATGAAGGCAAACCCCAGAAAATCCAGCCAGATGCTCAAGGTCGAACACATAGGGGATTTGACTTTCACTAATCCCCAGATTACATGTTACATACAGTTTAATGTACCAATGCCATCTCCCAGCTCAGAAATTATAAGCAAATGTGTGATTAGGTTTTAGATGATGTAGGGGATTAAAATGCTATGTTTTCAAACCATGGACACCAAATTTCTGTCAACCAGGAAAGCTAGTGTCAGTTATGACTTTTTTGGCTTTTGTTTTTCCTTATTTTCTGTTTCTGTCTTGGTTCAGTATGGAGCTTCCTAAGCAATGACCACTTACCCTACCAAATATGCTAAAATCCACGAATCCTCTAAGACACAGCCAAATACTCTTTGAATTTAAATAAACTAAATTTTCAATATAAAAAAAATTTGGTAATGTAAATTTTCATTAAAACTGCTTAAATTCTCTCAAAGAATCAAGCACATGAAAATTGTCATTTTCCTTTGTCCCAGCAACTCTATTTTTACAAATTTACCCTAAAGATATATGTGGATAGATATAAAATATTATATACAAATTTATCCATTTAAAGTACTTCTTTAATAGTAGAACACTGGAAATCATCTAAATATCTAGAATTAAGAGCCTGGTTACATAAGCAAGGGCACAGCCACTCAGAGAGATAGCATAAGTTACTTTACAACACCAGGAAAACTTTTCATGTTCTGATGAGAAAAAGTCTCCACCAAACAGTGTTTGTACACATAGACACACAAACACAAGTCACAGCGTAAAGCAGTGTAAGACTATATGTTCACATTCACTTGTATATGCACAAAAAAGAGCTCCCTTCCTACACATAAGAAACGAGTAACTGATTGTCTAATTGTCAAGGGAGAAATGCAATGGATAAGAAACAGGAATAGAGACTTCTCACTGTATTTCTCTTTTACACTGTTTTAAAAGTTTGAATCATGAATATTTTACCCTTTAAATTTGCATAAATTTAAATTAATACTTTTGTAGAATTTTTTAAAAATCAAAACAGAATAAAATATGAATGTATACAGGGATGGTCATGTTTCTATTTTGCACTTTGGCTGAAAATCCAGAGTTTGACTCTCTCTTGATCATTCATTTAAATCCTTCACTAAAATACTCTTTCACTGAAGCTGTGATAAGTATATACCTGGACTGCTGGTCTCACTTGAAGTAACACACGTGTTTCTGGAAACTACAAGTACAGTCTTTCACTTTTTGAGAATCCAAATGCAGTGCGGTTCACGTGGTGAGGGTGAGAGGAACAGGTATCGATCCCAATCAGGCATCTATCCACAAGGCTGACTGAATTCTGACGCACGGAGAAACTGTCCAGGGTGCTGGGGACAGAACAGAGTCTGTGGGACCACACAGACAGACGCAGTGTACTCAGGGCTGAGAAGAGGGGCTCATGGCTCTGGAACTTGGAATATCATTCAAAAAGCTAGTAAATGTGAGCTGAGCTCTTAGAGGATAAGGAACAGAGTCTGCCAGGCAAAGAGCTGACGAGTGCTTCAGTGAAGTGAAATAACCCTGGGTTACACTGGTTCCCTTTCCCTCATCTGACTGAACAGCTGACACATGGAGATTTACTTTTTTTGCTTTCCTTTTCTCCTTTAACAGTACAAAAGAGAATGAATCACACAAGTAGTGGTGACATATCCTGTCACCACAGAGCCAGTCAGTGAACAAGTCGAGACATGAACTCAATTTCCTTACCCCACAGCCTGGGTCGCTGCAGAAAGAAGCGGTGAGAACAGGGGCAGTTCTCTGTGGCCACCACAGAGAAGAAAGGAGGACAGAGGCATGAAAAGGCAGGCCGGGGTCTTAACGTCTGCACGGAGATCCTAAGGGTTCAGTAACAACAGGGGGATGCGGAAAGCAGTCTGCTGAGGAGAGACGTGCTCCTGGAAAGGCGGACTTGAGCAGAAATGGGATGGACGCAAAGTGGGGAGACAGGGCAGATGACATCACAGCTGGAAGATAGGACCGTCCGTCCTGCGAACAACCAGGGAGAGCGGAACTAGAAGGGCTGATTTCTATTTGAAGTGGAGGGAGAGGCATCGGAGCAGGCATCAAGCCCTCGGGACACCCCACCAGAGTAAACCACAGGCGCCTGCCCTGCGCTCCTCTCCGCTCTGGGCCTCCACCCTCTAGCACCCAGCTCTTCTTGGCTTCTGAAGCACCCGCTCACTGAGGCCAGAGCTTCTGCACTTGTCCCCGAAGACGGGAGCATCTCCGGGGACTTCCCCCCTACAACAGCCTTCTCTTTGGTGCCTCTGCTAAATTCCACTTCCTAGAAAGGCTCTCTTTGAATTCCCAGACTACTTAATCAAAACAAAGTAGCATTTTCACCACAGGTATAACTTCCTATTTAAAGTCTGTCTTCAACAGACTATCAGTCCCCCTGGCCACCTGCCCTTAACTCCTTTCGTGATCCTGACAATATACTGGGAAGGTTAAAGCATTGTTCATATTTTGCATATAAGAAAAGTCAGAAAACATATTTCTAAAAGTCATACAATTGGCAAGGAACATACCATGACTCAAACCTCAGGTCTCCAAGGTGGAGACACTTTCCCAACCCAGTCTATCAATAGGTCCTTAGAATATTTTGTGTAGCTAACAACCCAATAAAGCCTATGGTACATAGTGCTTCTACAAAGGAAACAAACATTCTTTACAAAACAAGTCCATGAGAGAATGCGCTAATGTACCAATGAATTCCTGTACTGAGCCCATATGGAATCTAGCCTTTAGGATCAGAAACTGTGAGTTAGAAACCCT